AAAATTACTGGAGTTGGACAGCCCTAACCTTCAATAGCCAGGGCACTCTTGTGCGGGCAAGAGCTATAGCAAATTGAATTCTCGTCCTCAACTCAGTGGGCAACAGGGCTAGCTCCTAAGCTATTAAATAAAGGATTGGGTGCTGGTTTTTTTCCACTTAGAAATGAGAATTAATGCTGTGATTTACTTTGAACTCCATGCTGCAAGGCTGTATTCAGATCACACATTATAGCGTGGGTTCTTCTGAGCAGACCCAGCCTGCAAATCCTCGACACGCTCGGACAAGACAGTGGTGTATGCCGTACTTGCATGCTCTAGGCACCTAGCAAATCTTGCTATGAACAGTTAGACACCAATAAGTAAAGGGCTAGGGAGGGAGATCATAGTTTTAGATGCAAATAGACATTTTAATTTCACATACATCTCAATTTAGGTGTCCGAATAAAATACAAAGGTGACAGATATAACCTAGACAGGAATCTCTAATAATCAGTGCATTTCCGAACGCAGGAAGCTCACTTTCTCATACATGACAAAGACCTTTATTCCTGTTGTTCATACTCATTAAGCAACTCACCCCTTGCCCTCAAAGATTTCAGGGGAGTCTGCACAATCAACAGCAGAGTGGACATCCAGCACATATACATCCTGCATACATATCCATACATGGACCAAGGCAGCCGTGTCCTTTGGCCAAGTACTCAAAATATGGATAGAGCAGAGAAAATGACCGAGACACAAAAACACGTGAAGGATGTGAAGAGTTAAGGGAAGTGGAATTTTGCTATGTCTCTCTTTGGTTTCTAGTGCTTATCTTGTTTTTAAAATCTCTCTATGGAAGTGGAATGCCAGCTTTATCTTAAGTTTTCTTTCTGGAAGTCTAAAAATGTAAAACTGACAGTTGCTAAGCATCGGTCACAATATTACAATAACTTGCATTCAGGAATAAGATGAAGCACAAAAGCAACAGAAACTAACAATCACTCCAAAAAGAACAGCCTACAGTGAAAAATAGAAGTTATGATTATTCATGCAGAAACATCTGTAAAGCATATCAAATATAGTAGTTGGGATTTCAGGCCTTGTAGTGGCTTTGTTATGAATGCAGGCTGACGTTCAATTGATAAAAGGTATTTTCAGAAAACAGACTGTTGTTTTTGATGGAAAGATACAGATGAATACCTCCAGGTGAACAGATCATATCTGAGCAGAAAAAATATAAATTCTTTTCCCAAAATAAGAAGTGACAAAATATGATATGCCAGAACTACCAGCATTAAAGTAAAAGCACAATTTTTCGTCTGACCACCATTATACTCTCAAGCAGAAAGAGCTGGGAATAACTTAAAGGCCACACCTCCACTCCTGGAAATATTTCTTCACCATTAGTGCAGCCCTGGTTTGTACTTTACAGAATTTTACTATCAATCACTGAAGCAATTGGTCCTTTCCCTGAAGCCCTTCCAAGGAAGGTGAGCCTTTCCTAACAAAACACTCAGCTGAGCCAACGCTGAATACACTGCAGCAGCAGAAAGACAAACCAGGCTCTCCAACTTATTCTAGAAACAGCAACTAAACCTGCTCAGACCCTGCCCGGTTTGACTTTGAGGAAGTAGTTTTGCCAATCACAGACTAAGCTATACACATAATATGTCTTAGGAGAAAAGACAATTATAAACAGCACCAGAAGGTTCCAGCTTTACTACAGGTGATGACATTTTCCAGTGAAACACTACTGTAAGCTGGAGGGGTTTTTATACCTCATTTCCATGAAACACATTTTGCCCAGGTCTATTGGGCCCAGCTCACTCCATATCAAATATAAGGGATTTGTCCCTGTAAGTTCCAGACAGAAGTATTTTGGACAAAGATTAGAATTTCCTCATCAAGAGCTCTCAGAGGTATCCCATGGCATTTCATGTCAAAGCATGCTCCTTTTTGATCATGCCCTTACAGCTTATACACCTCCACTCACAGTAAAGCCTTTGTGGATTTTGCTTTGTCAAAAAGGCTCCACCTTCTGTAAGGGCACTAGGGAAACACACAGCAAAGGAGGCAACAATCCTTCACTGACGTGCCATTCCCTGGTACACCTCCTGCTCTGTAATTTTTTTTGACCTCTGAGCAAAACACATCCCTAATGCCTCTCTTATGTTGGCTTTATGGTCCTAACTAGCATTGGCTCCCACCCCCCCAAGGTCTCACCGCTGTTACTGAAACCAACTCTGACTCAAAAGAAAGCTGTTACAAAGAGGACAGACCGACTATTTTACAAGCCAGCAAACGTAGATAACAGCTTGTAGACAGATGCTAGCAAACATTGCTGCCAGCAGACTGGGACCCACATGTCCCAGGCCCATGTCAGTGACATGCTGAAGGTCACCCAGCCAGCACAGGATGGTGGTAGGACTAGAATTCAGAGCTCCTGTCTTGTCCCTCTACATTTACACCACTTTCCCCAGTGAGCAGAGTTTATCCAACCTCCTTTGGGATCATGCGACTGCAGGTCCGGAGAATTGTTCCCAGCAGGGTAACAAACTGAAAAAAACCCTCCCTCTCAGGTATCGTTACTGCTACTTTCACAACAGGAATTATTACCAGATTTCATCTGCATACAACACATTCTGAAGCCATTCCCTTCATGCTTGGAGAAGATGAGCACAGTTTGACCTCATAAATCAATCAATTCCTGAAGGAGAGATTGAGATTTACTACAGAGCTGTCAAGCCAGAACCTGTAAAGACAGAAGTGGGTTTTTTTTAGGAAAAAAAATACCAAAAGCCTCAAGCAGTGCCTTGGCTGAAAACAAGACTACTGGCTCTCTCCGAACACAACCTCCCATTTGTCACAAAGGCACATCCCATTGGTAAAGCCTGCCAAGGGACTTCCTCTAACTTTGTCAGATCGACAAGGCATTCCCTGTGCTACTACCACCAGCGTCCCAGAGACCTTACATACAGCTCGTTAGTGACCTCAGAAAACAATCATGGGAAGGAACTTACAGTGGAGTCGAACTCCTTCTCCACTCCTGTAACAGAGCTTTACAACCACCACATTTCACAGGGAAAACTCCTTCATGCATGTGTGTTTGCCAGCAAACACGGGGCTCAGAATAAACACCCTTTCCCCAGCAGCTGAACCCTGGTCAAAAAGAAGCCTCAGCATGCCCAAGGTGACCATTCTTGTGAGAAAAAGTAAACACAGATTGCCTGTCATGCTTCCAATTTTCAAGGTTAACCTTTCAGGGAGTTTTATACTCTTGCCTTCCTGCATTGCCTAGCTGATTAGAGAGGTAATTTGTACCTTTTTGTTTCACCATTCACAGCAATTAGAATAATAATACAGGAATTGATAAAGAATAAGCCTGACAGCCCCCTTTCAGTAGCTATGGGTGACTCAAGTGATACACCTGCCAATACATTTCCTTTCATTTGTCCCTAACACTACTACTCAAAAATAAAAAACCAAAAAGAAAAAGAAAAAAATGTAGACATTTGTCTCCAAATATCTTTTGTCCCACATTACTCATTGTGGTGAAGTGTGTTTTCTGTATCAATTTACAGGCTCCCTAAGATTGAACCAGATTAGTTTTATAACCCCTGCAGAGGTGGACACATCAAAGATCGGTAGATGGAATTACTCTGCATTATAATGCACTAAGCATAGCCAGGAGATTTTAAGAAAAATCAATTACAATAAAGGTTTAGCCTCCAGGTAAAGGTCTTCAGCTTAGCAGCTCCAATGCTGAACGCCAGACGGGCAAAGGAAGTAGGGCATCCCTGCTGAACGGGGACCCTGCACCTGCCAGGGCACTGGAAATGGAAAAGGATGCATTACGAAACTGAGCACAAACAAACATAAGCATTTCTAAAATTACTTGCTCTAGGGAACTTCACGTGTTTCACATTTCTGTGTGCCGTGTTCATTTTAACCTACGGACGGGAAAGCACTCGGGGAAGCGCAGTGCTCCCGAAGCACAGGGTGTGGGCACACACCACCCAACACCGCACTGTCCACCAGCAAAAGTCCCACACCGCAATTTGTCCTGTATGCTTCCTATCTGCTGCCAGTCTACTTTTCTGTTTCCCTCCCTCGTTTTCCTGCCAAAGTTACTTTTCCATCTGTCACGGAAGATGTACACGACCTTTCTTCTGCTGTTTTATGTCCACTTATTAAATACCCCTCCTTCCTGCCATGAGGAACCCAGACAGAAAGCAGGATAACCTCTCTCTCCCCGAGCGCTTGCCAATTCCCACCAAAAAAAGAAGAGCTTTACCAAGGGGCTGTAACAAAGACAAAAACAGGTCTCTTCACAAAAGAGGTTCCTGAAAGGGCGTTTAGTCACTACACAAACGACTCGCTGCTTTTAAGAGCTTCAAACACATTGAGCAACTCGACGAGAAGGAGCCGGCCCTAGCTTAATTTATTGGAGCAAAGAAAAAGCTGTGAAGGGTGGCGACTCCTGGTGCGGGTCTGCTCTACGGGGAGAGGAACGCAGCCTGAGAAAAAATAAAATCAAAGACGGCGCGCTTCTCACCCCAGTTTTAACACAAACACGGTCTCCCTTGCATTTCCCTAAACTTGCCTCGCTCGGCAGGAAAACGAGAAAACACCAGTAAAAATGTGGGGCGGGGAAGGGGTTGGGGAGGGGGCGGGGAAGGCAGGGACAAGAAACTTAAAAGGAAGAGCCGGGTGGCCTCACACCGGCGGCGCCGGGCAGCCCGGGCGAGGGACTCGTCGTGCCCGGGTGTTGGGTGAGGGGCACCGAGGACACCGCCGAGCGGCGGCGGGGCGCGGGCTCCTCAACCGGGACGGGCGGCGGAGAGGAAAGGAAGGGAGAGGAGCGGAGCGGCGGCCGCCTGAGGGCGGGCGAGGAGGGGCGGCAAAGGCCGCGTGCCTGAGGGGAGGCGAAGCGGGCGCCTGAGGCGAAACGAGGAGCGGCCGGACACAGCGGGCGGCCGAGGGGAGGCCGCGGCGCGAACCCCCCGGCCCGCACGCACCTCCTGGAAGAGCTCCAGACTGTAGGTGTTGTCGTCGTCGGCGAAGAAGAGCACCCCGGCCTGGGGCGGGGGCAGGTGCTGGTGCCGCTGTCGCAGCCATGCCAGGCCGGCGTTGCGCTGCTCGGTGGCGCGGGGCAGCCCGGGCCGCTTGTAGCGGCGGGGCGTGGGGACGTGGAGGTGAGTGCAGGGCAGGCCGGCCCCCGCCACGAAGCGGCTCACCAGCTCGCTGCGCGCCGCCGCGTCCTCCACCAGGATCCAGTGCAGCCGCGCCACCTGCCGGAAGGTGTTGGCCAGGCGGGTGAGCTCGGCCTTCTGCACCGGGCGGCTGTAGGTGGGCGTGATGGCATAGATGGTGGGCAGCGCCGCCTCCGGCGCCTGCGGGGGGGAAGCCCTTCCCGCCGCCGGCCGGGCCCCCCCGCTACCGCCGCCGCCGCGGGGGGCCAGGGCGGGCGGCGGCGGCCGGCTGCTGTCGATGTCCAGCACGATGATGACGATGAGCACCCAGGGCAGCAGCAGGAGGAAGCGGCCGAAGAGCAGAGACTTCATCCTGCCCTTCCGCCGCGCCGCCCCTCAGCGCCGCCCCATGGACGAGCGCTGCCGCGGCGCTCAGCGCATGGCGGCGGGGCTGCCCCTTCGCCGGGGAGGGCGGCGCTCCCGACCGGGGAGTCGCGGTGGCCCCGCGGAGCCCCGCGCCGCAGCCCGGCGGGACAGGGCAGGTGCCCGGCCCCGCTCCCGCCGCGCCTCTATTCGGCGAGCGGCCGCCCTTCCTCTTCCTCCTCCCTCAGCATCGCCGGGGCTCGGCGGGAGGCTCGGGGGAGACGCTCCTTCTCCTCCGCTTCCCCGGGCGGCTCTGGCGGGGGCGGGGAGAGACGGGAGGGAGGGTCCCCGCGGGCGGTGGGGTGGCTCCCGCCCCGCCCCGGCTGCCGCCCCCGGGCGCGGCGGAGGGGGGGCGGAGGTCGGCGCCCGGTGGAGGGGGGGGGTGCTCTTTCTCCCCGCGGTGGGCACCGCGACCGGCAACTTCAGCCGGGGGCTGGGACGTGTTCCCTGGGGCAGTGCCGCCCGCCCGACGGGCCCGGGGAGAGCCGCGGGCAGCCGCTCGCTTCGTTTTTGTTGTTTGGGTTTGTTTTTTTTTTTTGACGGAGCAATATTTTTGAGCTCCGCAGAAGTGCCGAGTTGTAAATGAGACGGGCGTTTCGTGCGGTTTCCCTCGGTGCCTGTCAGCCGCTGGCACCCTCCCGACCCCGGCACCCGACGGCGGCGGCGGGTCCCGCCCGCGGTGCCCGCACCGGCCCGAGCCGCCTCTCCACCTTCTTCTGCCGTGCTGAAGAGAGAGCTCTTTTTTAAAAAGCGTTCCCGTGTAAGAATTTCGTCATAATCCACCTGTCTTTATTTTGAGAAAAAGGCATTCATCAGGTCCTACAGCTCACATGAAATGCACGATCTAAAACCCCTTACGGATCTTTTCCTACCAGGATGCATTTCCAATGCGTTTTTTCAATGCTCCCTGCTGTCATAACTAAAGACAGCTTGAATTGTGCTTTTAAAACTTCATGTTGCATAAAAACACAGAGGGACAGCATTAGTATTTACAAATTACTGAATTCTGCGTGATTCTGTGATGTAAGCATTTACCCTTGTGTAGATCAAATGATGGTCTCAGCGACTTGTAGACTGAGACCAGAAATAGAATAATTTATCACTGATACCTTGATTTAACAGTGAGAATAGTGCCGGTTAGAGATTGGTCATGTCTTCACACCAGCCTCCTTGGCTTAAACTACTGCTTTCTGTTTTATATGTTTCCTTCACATTTGCGTGTGTATAACAAATACAGATAATGTGGGTACATGTGTATCTATCTGCAATCAATTTGTTATTCAAAAGGACATATTAACCCAGAGGGCTCACACACAGAAAGGACATTGAAGTGATGTAATATAAACTGAAATCCATGTGAAAGTGAGGGTGACACATGACCAGGCACTGAACACGAGAAAACATCTCTGTAGCAGAGAGCTAACTAGAGTTAGCAAGTTTAGTGAAGGAGTGGAAGGGCTGTTACTTGATTAACAAAGTAATATGGAGGAATGCAGTGAGCATAAATAGTTTGACATATCCAAATCCAAAACATCTTGGACATGAAGTTACTGTTGCCCATTTTGTGCTGATGCATTTTATCTAGAGGACAGTCATCTAAAAGCCATCTCTCTCTAATGACTGAATGCACCATTTTTTCTCATTTACCATGCAATCCTATTTACAGAGATAATTCATTCAAATAATGCAAACATATGTATCAAAGCAACATAGCAAGAAGCAATTGCTTGTTCTGTTTTGAAAGTCAGTAGTCATTTGGAAAATTCAATTCAAAGCTAGTCACATCTAGATATTGTATGATGCCATGTCAAACCTAAAAACCTATTTGGGCAGAACCTAGAAACTAAGGGTTACCAACAGATGTGTTTAATTGACATTCTTTATAGCCCAAAATATTATAATATTTAAAATAGTATTTTTAATCTTATATTATTTTTCATCCAAAAATGTTATCTTCGGGGGACTTGTATGTCATATTCAGAGCTTAACCAAGAGAGAATATGTAATAGTTTATGGCTATATGACCTTAGTAAAGGCAGCAATAAGAACAGCTGAGTGTAATTGCTGCAGTTAAGGAAGGAGCACAAACACTAACGCAGCACCAGGGAGTTATCCCTATGAACTATTTGATATTCTTCCACCTCTATAATTGTGTTCCTGAAAGCTGGTAACTACGTGCTTCTGTACGCTGGTTAACATACTGCTTCTAACTGTACACAAGATCCTTAACGTAATGATATGAGACATTTGGCTGTTTGATAACAAATCACAATAATTACATTTTTACCCCAGAAGCATTGTAACATGTTTTCATGTCATGAGTCAAGTGCACCAGGCATGATATCAAATGATGCAGCAGCATTTTCTGTAAGTTTTAGATATAGATATAGATTATCTTAGATGGAAAGGTAAAAGGTAATGAAGACACTACCTCTAAGGCAAATGTTATTTATTAAACTGTTTTTTCTTGATAATCAAAGCAAGATGTTCTTCCTTTGGAAAGAAACCATTCCAAGCTGTCTACAGGGGTAGTTTTTTCTGCCAGACACCTTAGCACTGGTTATTATAACAATTGTCACATTTGATTGGAGACCTCAGGTGCAACTCTGAAACAAAGGACAAGTTTCTAACTTGTGATGGATGGTACCAATCATTGTGTGACTCAGTCTGTTCCTATGGTTTCACATACAATATACAGTACAGTGCATATTCTGGGTTGTATCAGAGTGCGTGGGCAGGCATTTCTCTTCAGGATCTGGTCCAAAATTATTTGTTTGTAGTAGTTTATTGCCTGGCTCATCTATTATGGCATTGCTGATTGCTGCCCTCATTCTCTAAAGATTTTTGTCAGAGATGTGTTAGGACTTGGCACCGGATTTTTCATTTGTATTAAAAAATGTTGCCTCTATTTTAGTTTTGTGCCCTTCTTACCAGAGGAGGATGCCTGGCAGGGGGATGCTCAAACAATGCTAGAAAGCAGTGTGTGTGTGCAAGTCTGTGTATGCACGTACATGCAAAAAAGAATAATCTCTGGGAACATTCTCTACAGGCCCACGGAGGCTTTTTGCAAACCGGAGCACACCGCAGACTCTTCACCTGGTGCTGGCTGGACACAGTCATGAGGGATTGTAATGCTAGCAATTGTGTCACCCAGTTTTGTCCTTTTTCACTGGTTTCAGTCTTTTCAACATCTGTAGAAAAGGATATGCACGGCGTGAGAGTTCCTATAGCCATACCATAGATGCACTTTTCCACTTTCTCTAAAATAACTCCGTTCTTTTTGCTTTTCTCTCCCTCACCCCTCGGAGTCATCCATCCCTCCGGCGGCTCTGCTTCCACCCAGCCTGCCCACCCAGCCTCCCAGCTGGACATGCCCGGGGCTGGCGGGGCACAAGCTGGCCACCTCTTTTGCTTGCTCCATTTGAATTTCCCCTCAGTTTCTGAACACCAGGATTTGCTCAAACTGGAGACAACATTACAGACTGTTCTTTTTTTCAGATATTGGAAAGATGGTCAGAGTTATAGATAATACCTGAAAAAAAGCGATTAAAATGATTGCTTTTTAGGTTCTACGGCTGATAGAAGTATTGCAGCCATTCAGGAAGCAGAAGCAAAACCAGTTGGATAAACATATAAAAATGTGCCATTTTAAACTAGTGGATGAAACACTGCATAGAAATAGTTCCTATTCCGCATAGCTGTAACTGAATAGATTAAACTTAAGAAGGGTTCATTTCTTTGGACTGTTTCATGGTTTTCTGTCAACAGCAGTGGCTGCTGATGACTAAAGATGGGTAATTGGCTTTGGTGTGCGAAGGTGGCTCATCAGCCTAGTCTCTGTGGTGGGTAAAACCAGATCCCAGTGAGAGGTGAAGAAAGAAAAAAAAGGAAGCAGCAGCACAGGATGCAGCAAAAGCATAATTTCTTCTGTCCTCTTCTGTTCCTTTAGACTTATTTCAGCCTCATTAGATGTCACCTAAGACTTTCTCTAAAAGAGTGCATTTTCCTACACTTTCCAGTTGTGGAAGCCTCCAAGAAATGTAATTGTCCAACTCAGGAGCACTCGTACACAGTACTCTGTGTCAGAAAAGACGGGCAGTGGAGACCGGGCTGGGCTTGCTAAAAATGTGTATGGGGGTCTGTTCTGTTCCAGAAACAAGAAACCAGCTGCCCGAGCTGACAATGAAGAACAAGATTGCATGTTTATGTATGCACGTAGGCCATTTTGAAATAATTTTCTCTAGTGCTTTGTTCGTGTTCCTAATAAGCCAACTTGTTTATCACTATAGCAACCAGCGACAGATTCCTGGAAAGAAGAGCTGCAAATGCCCATTTGGACCTTGGTGGTCACAGGCAGCTGGTATGAGCAAGGTGTCATACTTGCCTCTCAGAGCTCTGAAATGCCACGTTGGGACAGAGCAAGGTGAGGAAGGTGTGACATGGCGTGACATGGGAAGGTGGATATGCGGAGGGAACACAGCTATGCATAGCTTGATGGAAACGATCACAAAAGCAAACATTGTTTTAAATGAAAATAAATACGCTATACGTAAGGCAAAATAAGTTTGAAATGTGGAGCTGAATCCCTGAATGCTGAAAAGATTAAATTATCCCTCTGTTGCCACAGGCTTTGGTGGTGAAGACTGGAAGAGGTGGGAATCGGACATGCAAAGAACCTGCTCAGGGGAGGTCCTCCGGGTGCATCCTCTCACCAGACATCTGCTGCCAGCAAACACCTCTGAAACCGCAGCCAATGTGTGTCCCGCCAGCGCTGAGCCACATCCCAGGTGACGTCCCACAACTACAGCATTTGCTCGAGTAGCAAAGGTGAGTGGGGATCTCTGGAGATAACCTCCAGGGGTAACATAGTTATGCAGAAGGGAAAGTGCTTTTCCACCTAGAAACCTACATGCACAAAAAACTGTGCTATGTTACAAGGGCTGTAGCAGGAATGCAAACTCTGGCATTCCAGGATTGGAAGCACTACAATTAAGATTGCGTGTTGACCCTTAAAGTGGTCTCTTCAAGCACTTGCCTTATGATTCAGCCTTTGCACCTTTCATCTTCTTTTAAATCTACCTTTTCAGATAATATGAAGAGGACCATCCTTAACACTGTTTGGCTACCCCTTCCCTGTATTCATGGAACTCATATCAGAAGCCCCTGAGCAGTCCCAGAGTCTTGGTAGCTGGTGTGTTTGCTTATCTTTTGAGTGGCCCCAGGTATGAAAAAAATGAAAGTTAAAAGCTGTATGATTGAAAAAGGCATTCTTGACTCTTGATTCTGATACTAAGAGGGTTGAATATTTTATTCCATGTTTTGTTTCTAATGTAATGTTATATTAATGAGGTAATGTTGTTGTAGCACCAGTGTCCTAGCATATAACAGGCAAGCTTGTAAGGAAATGTATCTTCTAGTAGAGGAGATGATACAGTGAAAACACCAAACCCAAGCAGAGAAGTGTTCAGCAATACAAGCTTTTGTCAGGTCTGATACAGCAGCTTACCGAAATGCCCTCAAAAGAGGAACAGCTCCAGGTTACTCTTTGGAGTTATTCCTCATAAAGATAATGTTTTCTTTCACTATGTTGGGATATTTTTTGTAAGAGCCTCAAGCTGATGTATTTGTCACTGAGAAGTCAAAAGATTTTCTCCAGTTTCTCTTGAAATCCTAGAAGAATCTCCCACACCATTATGTTTCAGACCTACATGAGGCCTTGTTGACAGAATAAATTGTTTTAGTGTAATCCAATGTGGATTTAAACCAGCATAGCCAAATGTAAGCAAACTTCTCTGCAAGAACACTTATTTTGGTGCTTAAGTAGTGGGTTTCTGTCCAGCTTAATTTGATCAGGAAAAGGCTTTAGGCTATGCCAGAATAAGCCACTCTGAAAGTAAAACCATTGACATAGGTGGTTCTAGTGGACATGTATCAATTGACTGATTAAGAAAGCAAAGTCGCTTTGCCCTACTTGAAGACTACATCATCCCTCTGTGAATCTATTGCCCTCTCTCTCACTGGCCAACACCCCACCTGGGCTGCCAGAAGTGACACTGAGAGAGCTGGCAGCCACCAGGATAAGGGGTTTTGTATGACAAGGCTTGCAAGGCAGCTGGGTGACACCCCATATTGCAAAACAGCAGATAGAAATGCTTCTTGGTCTCGACTGGGACTTGTTTACTTCTGGGCTGGCCCTTACTGTATGGAAATAACTGGCTGACACCAGCTCTGTTTTTATGAAGGTGCGTTTTGAAAACTGTTGTTCAGAGTGCATCTCTGAGATGATAAGTACTTTATGGCACTGTAGTGTCTGGGCAGTTGGAGACTGGCAGATCACTTCAAAGACCTAGGGCATATACCTGCCTCCCCAAACCTGGCGCAGGCTGTTCATGGTGTCTCCGCCCACACTGAAATTCTCATTATATCCTAGCAGTGGTCATGGTACCATAAATATATTTGTTACACAGTACCCTTGTGCTGAGCTTGCAAACTCAGCCCTGGATTAGCTGGGCTCAATGACACCTTGAGCTGGGCTGAAGGAACTGGCTGGAGGTATTTGTAACACTACCGCCAAAACCATGGAGGTAATATATCCCTCCTTCCCTCTTCACTCCCCACTATTTCTTCTTTGCATTTTTTTCCAGCAGGATGTCCCTGGAGCCTCCCAGCTTGTCAAGCACAGCACACTGCTCTATGCTCAAAAGTATATGACCAACAAAACAAAGAGCTTGCAGCTGCAATTTGAATGTGGCATAAACTGAATTGCTTTAAAAATCAAGGTATGTGCCAGGAGGAAACAAATTGTAGAAATGCCAGGCACAAAAGGTTATGTAGTCCAACCATTGACTTCAAGCCAGGAGACGTTTGTCAAACTTCCCATGATGATAATCCAGCCATCTTCTGATGTCCTGATGGTAAGAAGGTTCTCCTGATATTTAACATAAGCCTTACCATTACTATACGTCCACAGGTTACTGTCTCAGTGCAAACGGAGAATAATCAACCATTTTCCCATTTATAGCAACCTTTTACACAGCTGGCACCAATACCTCCCCTTCATCTCTGCTTTTCTACAAAAAGCATTTTTTTCCTATAATTTCATTTTTTAATTCCAAATACATGAAAGTATTCTCATTACATCTGCATGTTTCATAAAATGTGGACTGCAATACAAGAAATATTGCTCTGATCAAGATCTTACCAGTGCCATGTGAAGGACAGTATTTGCCACCCATACCTTCCATATGATGCTTGGAACAGTTAGATTCATTTTGTTATCTATTATAGGTCCTTTTCTATGGTACTGCTCCCTAGTCAGGTATTCTGTACATAATCCTACTCCCTCCTTACTAAAAGTGATAATGTGGCTGTCCTCAGGATTCTTTTTGTTCTTGTTTTTCCTGTTCTTATTCTTCAGGATTTTCTCCATTCTCACAAACTCACAAAATGTGCAGTGATTTCTGAGATTTTGTCATAGGAATGGTAATTTGAGTAATTCCAGCTAATCCAAATATTCCTTAAAAGATCTTTTTCTTATTCCAGCCTGTTCTCTTGTTATTAATTTTAAAGGTCATTATGCAATGGATCATACTTCCTTTTTTAGGAAAGATTAAGTCATGAGAAAAGACATTGTACCTTCCAGTCTTTTCTGGGCTTTTATTTTTGACAGTCTGTCCTTAATATTCATGTTAGTTTAATGGAATTTAAAAATCCCTTTTTCGTTACCTGAAAACAAGGGACAAGAAGTCACCATTTTTCTCCTCCTCTATAAGTTCTGATTTTGAAAATTTATTGTAAGCTGACTGTTACTCTGGAATATGACCGACAAAATACCCCACAGGATCATTGCTGAAGATACGGAGGAACGAAAAGCACATTTTTCACGAACGTCTAGGATAGAATATAGCAGCAGAGACACTTTCCTTCAGCTGCTGGTAGGCTCATACACTCACTTCTCTGGTGATTTGATTTGCCTTTGTGCTCGCAGTTGATGTGTGAGTGCAGGAAAAGGTGGGAATAAGACTTTTGGCAGGACGCAGGAATGCTTGTTGGATAAAACAGCAGACCTGGCATGGGAGAGGCATAGCAGCCTCCCAAATCCACGCTACCCTGGCTGTAAGGTAGGAGAAAATCACTGCATAGATCCAAAAAACCAAGCTGCTGAAGAACCATAATGGATTAGACTCTGGGTCTCCAAGGGAGGAGGGGCATATCTAAGCAGCTGTGGACAAGCATGTAGGTCAGGTAGATGTTGAAGAGGCTCAGGCTAGCATCATACCTGAGAAGGGATTATGAATGGGAGAAAAAGGCTCTTCCTCACCAAAAGGCAAAGGATGAGGACAGGCTATTATCCCCAGGAGTTACTTTTCAAGGACAATTTGCCCTTGTTTTGTTAATAAAGACGTGGCCAAGCTAAGCAATTTTCTCTACGTCATTGTGTGCATTTCTTTCTCAAACCATGTCCATGGCAAATTATGTATAATTGGGCTGTAAGGCTCTCTGTGTCCTGCTTAATCTGCTCTTTACTGATATTCTCTTTATCAACACTGACTATTTTTTTCTTGAGGATTTTGCTACCTCTAACAGAATGTAAACAGTGATTATGTAAACAGCTTACATTCTGATTCACCATGTTCAAACACTCTGATTTGTTATCTTTTTAAGGGTGAGGGCTAGATACAGAAACATGGTAGCATATACTGCAATTTAATAATTAGGGCCAGATTGAAGCACCATCCTGCATTAGGGATGTGCCACCCTTGCCATGCTGTGCTAAGGATTGCATGTAGGACTGTAACTTCAGGTAGAATGAAATAAAAGGAAGCCAAGGGAGTAGTAGTGAGCAATAAGCTGTGTTTGTGATGCACATGCACAGTAAGTGCATAAACCAATTAATGAAAATACTGCCTTAGCATCTGCAGTGGGATCGTACCTCCTCTGTGCCCACATGGAGCTCTGCTGGACACGGCTGCCTCTTTTCAATAGGGACCCACTCGTGCCCATCCAAATTTTCCAGTGGAAGAAGTGGTACTGCTGTGGTTTTAATGAGTTTCCTAATAAAGAGGTGATGATCGGCAGCGTAATTTCCCTTCTACACTTTATGCTTTTATGACTGGAATTTATTATTTAACCTCACTACTATATTATCTGTTATTTTACTTTGGTAGTTGTATTTCCACCTCAGTCATGTGCATTTGCTTTCTAATAGTCTCCTTTCCCAGACTGCTTTCATGTGAGCAGCAGGGCTTTTTTGTTAAGTACTCCACAATGTTTTTAGCATACATTTCTTTCTGGTTTAATCTCTCTCTTTTTTCTTCTCTACCCATGTATTAGTCATCCTTAATGGGGTACAGCACCTTGTGCTCTCTGACATGGAAAACAGGGACAATGTAAGCAAACATCAAGGACAAAGCATAAAAATAGTGGAAGCAGTCTCTGTAAAAGGGAAATTAATGACTCAGGCAAGTAGATACCACATGTAAGTAATTTTAAGGAAAGAAAGCATCAGCCATGCTTAGAAATGTCAATGTATTTATCGCCTTTCAGCCCCCCTATATAGCTGTTACTAACGGCATATTGAAAGGGAACAAAGCTTCTGAATGTAGAAGCAGGGATGCCTTAGCAAGGTGATCCAGGGTAATGGAAATTTATTAATGCTGACATAAATCAGGCATGTGCATGCACTGAAGGAGTGAATGAAGTTGGGCCAGGGTCGTGTTGGAGAGGAGCTGGTCAGGTCTCCCATCTCCACGCTAACGCAGAGCAGCAGCCCTCTCAGGAACTGCACCTCTAACCTCACAGAATAAAAGAAGATGGAAATAAATCTGTGTACTCCACTATAAAATACTAGGACGTGTGCACAGCTGACCCAGGATGTGTGGGAGCTAGTCAGTGTGTGCTTTGAACAGGGCAAAAGCAGCGAAAGTGCAGTAACCCTAATGGTAGGGTCAGTGGTTTAGTATTAAGTCAATAAAAATAACTGAGAGTCAACTCTTTTTATTTACAGTCTGGCCCCTTTTGAACGCTGGCATTTTAGGGGAGCCATACATTGGATATAAATGAAATGTAATTTGCTGGAGTTAGTTAAAGGTGACTAATGTGAATGAAAATCAGGACCTTTCATTTTACATCACGGTGCACATTTCCATTTGGTGTGTGTCCTGGTTCTGGCAGGGATAGGGTTCATTCTCCCCAGGATCTAGCAGGGACACGGGGGGCAGGAAGCCACCACAGGGGGCGAATGGTGGTATCTGGTATCCCAATCGTGGTTGTAGGTTCCTCTCCCAGTGTTATTGTTGTTGTTTTCCTTGTTTGCTTTTGCTGTTTCTGTTACATTGCCTTTGTCTCAACCCACAAGTTTTGCCTTTTTCTTCCAATTCTCCCCTCACGGTGCTGGGGAGGGTCCGGTCCGAGAGAGCGGCTGCCGTTCTTTGTTGCCATCTGAGGCCAAACCATGGCAACGTGTTACACACAAACACTGCTGCCTATAAGAAGTCAGGGCGCTCACATTCACTTGCTGAAAAATTGTAAGCAGTACAGAAAACCTCATGAAGCTGAGGCAAGGCGTGGTGGGATTGCCTTGTAGCAAAGGACAAGCCATCCTGCTGATAGGGTTATAAGAAACACCCTGAGCTACCTTGGTTAATATTATAAATATCTTCACAAGAAGAAAAATCTGGGTGCTAAAGAGCTCTGTAAACTACTGGGGAAATGTATTGTAAGAACCACAGTCAGGTGGATAAAATGGAACA